GCTGTTAACTGAAAGTTCAGTCTAATCAGAGGTGCCTTGGAAGAAAGTCCTGGCAATTTCCCTCAGAAAACCCAATGGAGCACAGTTCCATTCGGAAACACACGTGGTCACTGAGGTGGAGTCACGTCTCTGGAAACTGGTCTTCATGTACAAACCCAGACAGCCCAGGGGATGACCTGTAAGAGGGCCACAGGGGGCATGTGGCCAAATGACTGGTCTTGGTAGAAAGTCCCATAAGCAGGCTCTCTGTCAATTGAGTCTGAGAAGAGATACTGTTACATCAGCACTCCCAGCGACCTAACCCCTCAGGTTTAGCTCTGCTTTCTGCCTATTGAATAGGGAGCTAAAAGAAGGACGTGCCCCCCCCCATTCCCCACCACCCAAGCCTTGGTTTAGGAAATGAGTGTGGGTGACCAGGTGTGATTTTTGCACCTGGGCTGCTATCCATAAGCGAGAATGTGAACATGGTAGATAATTCAGGGGATATGATTTAGGAATCACATGGGCATAGAGGCTCCCATTGTCTAAGTTAGTTCAATTAAATGCAAAGGGCTAGGCAATTTGCGTCGGGAATTGGAGATTGGGGGAAGGAGTTGGAAGAAGAAAAAAAAAAAACCTACAAAACAATAGATCCCTGGGCTCCATCCAAAAGCACACAAAGCCAGTGGGGGAAGGGAGCCACCAGTGGCAGCATCTCTAGGATGCAGATTACCTGGGTTGCCATGCAGCTGTGGCAGGCATAGGACACAGAAGGCAGGCACAAGGCTGGGAGGACAGAGTTCCACTCCGGCCCAGTCAGAAGAAATGTAAAGAATGGTTTAGTGAGAGGTCATAAAGGAGCTCGAATGTAGACTCAAGAGTCTCTGGATCAAAAGTTCCTTAGGAAAGCAGTTGTCGGAAGCAACCTGAGGAGGAAGGGACTCGGGACCCATCTAGACAGATCCAGAGATACCCTAACAATCCACCGGTCAGCTGCACTGGTCCGCCCCTCGGTCTGGAATCATGGAATCAGCTCAGATCTGGCCTGGGTGCAATCTCCTAATACACCACTTATGATTCATAGTTATTAGGTATGAAAGACACGGGTCATGTACAGTAACGCCATATGACAGAGTAAAACCACCCTCGAGGGTTTTCGACGTTGTGATCTTTATGGGAGTCTATTGTCAGGTCTTTCTTGCAAGAATCTGTGGGTGGCTTCAAAAAGCCCAGTTTTCCATTAGCGGTCAAAACCATAACCACTGGCAGGGCTCAAGGGTCTCTGTGACATTAGATGGAAGCTAGGAGGAAGGTGGAAATTGTTAACCCAACTTTGTGAACTTGCAAAACATACTTCACCTCCCTGAGCCACTGTTTTCCTACCTCGAGGCCAGTGGGGCGATCTGGGCCAGATGGGTCTGCTCATTTTTGGGGCACTGTGGAGAGACCACAGGCACAGAGGCTAAGCAAAAACTAAAGATATGGATTTAACTATAACAACTCCAGGTTTTGAAGAGGATGAGGGCGATTGATCTCAGTCTTTCCCACCTTTCCAGCACGGGTTATCTACCTGGCCAGCATGGACGGTACCACATTTGGATGATAAAGGAGGGTCTTCCCAGAGCTAGAAGCTTAACATTTTTGCCTGATAACTATCCACTCATACCTGGGTTTCGGCACTCGTTCATCAGGAACTGGAGTCCATGTAGAATCTGGAGACTTCTGCTCCTTGAATCTTCCGGTAAACACGTTGGCAATATCAACCATGTCGTAGGCACAGACTGCAGACCCAGGGATGCTGCAACACAGATGCACAGAAGAGCATTACTCAGCACTTAGGAAAGGCTACTCAAAGGAAACTGCCTTGCTATCAGCAATTGAAACTTCACATTTGTACCGTGAAGACTACAAATGGAAAGGATGCTTTGTGCATAAAGAGAACTTTTCCACGGAGTGGTTTCAGCAAACTCTAAAAGGGGTGGGGGCAGGGGGATGAAAACCACTTCATGGTTTGACTCTCTCTGGAAAACACTGTTGTTTAAAAAGGCACAATTGTTGAGCAGCTGATATAGAAATCTCATGAATTTGCCAATGTTATCAGCAATAATCCAAAGATAAAGTTCATTGGAGGACATTCTGAATCTATAATACTGGGGAACATTTGCAATAAGAATCTCATGGTCCATATATGCTTTTTGAATTTGATTCTTTATACTAAGACCTCAGGGTGTGAGTGTGTGTGGGGAACCTACACTTATTTTATATTGTATTTACAGTTTTATTTGTTTGTTTACATAATGCTCAAGTACTAGTGCTTTGCCAATAAAGTTCTCTATAAAGTAGTAAGTAATAATAAGGATGAGAATCTCCACCTATAATTACATCTTTGCTTAGCACTCTTGACAGGACTTGAGGAGTTTTTAAAATTTTTTTTAATAAAAATCAATCATTGTGGGAAGGGATAAATTATCCATTCAACCGGGTGCACTGTTGATATTTGCACCCACATTTATTTTTGACGATGATATCGACTTGATTTTGATAAAGTTAAAGGTAGGAAGCAAAGCTCAAGAGCTGTTATTACGTTTTGGGGCAGTGGGGCACCCATTACAAGAGCACCCAGGACAAGAGACCCTGGTGACTTTCAGTGGGGGAACATGATCTAGGGCAGAGTGAATGATGTGGTTTGGATTTTGCACACAGAGAAGGATTATGGAAATCACTTCATCAGTGGTGAAGAGAATTTTATGGCATCTTTAATTTCATAACACAATTATTGAAGTATTACTAGTAAAGCTAGATGTAAGGAGAAGATAAAAAGCTTATTTTAGGCAAGGTAGAGGATTAATAGGGAAAATTTAAAGGATTATCTGTTTACAAAGTATATAGTGTTTGAATAATTGAGTATATAAAACAGAACTCCATTTGGCTTGGAATTTCAAATATTTCTTTTGTAAGACTTCACAATCTCTTTTACTGAGAGTTACTGGAGGATATAGTTGTGCTTGTCTAATACAAAAAAAGGAGTAAGTCTTGCTAGGAGGATTTTATGATGTGTGGTGTGAAAATTTAAGACACTCTACAGTTTTATAATCTTCCCAAAGTTAGGATGGCTTCAAAGCCATTCTCTCTTCCTTCTTTACTCTCCTACCTTCCCATTTTCTTCTTGTCTTGATTCCCTATTTCCATTCAGCTATTTATGAGATACATATGCAAATCATATATCTCGATCCAAGGAGGTTCTTTAATACGGCATCCCCGCCTTCATTTAGCTCGGTGTTCACTACAGAGTCAACTAACTAGTAACCATAATGACATCAGCCACAGCTACTGTCCCAGCACAATCTGAGAGGAGAAGCGTATGCGCAGACCCCTAGCAGTCACTCTGAGGCTGAGGCTTGCTGCAGCCCCAGGATTTCCATGGGCTGGAGGGCAGTCTTGGCAGACAGCAGGACATGAGCAAAGGGCAGCAATTCAAGAAGTAGCTCCACTAGGGTGTGACGCAGAGACTGGCAGGGGAGGAGTTAGGGATGGGAGGAGAGGAGCTGAGGGAAGAGATGGAATTAGACCAGAAAGAGGTTTTAATGTCTGAGAAGGAATTTGTTTTTTTTTCCCAGAGCAAAGGGAAGACTCTAAGGGATTGGAAACAATCTGACACAGTGAAGTTTGTACGTGGGGAGAAGGGTGGGAAGGAAAGGAGCCACAGTGTATGGATGAAAAACTGGGAAAACAGAGAACCATTTTCTAAATTTACTGAACAAATAAATAGGTTTTTTGAGGCTGCATCAGCATGCACTATGGCAATGCATTTTCAAAGATTTTAAATGGACTACTTAAAATGCTTAGGGACCTATTTCTATAATCACAAAGTAACCCCCATTTCACCATAATAACATAAAATTTGAAAGTCAAAGTCTACCAGTACTGTATCCAGCCACACCTTGACAGTATACATTTTTGAAAATCATAGATAGATGAGTTCCAATTTAGGAACTCTGTGTTTTTATAATTTGTTGATTCTTAAATCTAACAACCCCTACAAGAGATTAAAGATAACTTAAGTGTAAGTCATCCTGCAATATGAGTTTCTATTTTTATGTACCTTCCTTACTCTTCATTCTAACCATTTTAATTATATAATTCAGTGATGTTAATTATATTCACAATGTGCAACCACCATCACTATTTCTACAACAGTTCATCAGCCCTAAACAGTAACACCCCACTCTCCCTCCTCTCCACAGTCCTGGGGAATGGGCTATTTTTATCTTGCTTATTGTAGATATTGAATATCAGTAGAATAATACAAGATTCAGTCTTTTGATGCCTGGTGGTGTCGTGGTCATGCTTTGGACTACGATCAGCATGGTCGGTATGTCAAAACCACCAGCAGCTGCGTGGAAGAAAGACTGGGTTTTCTGACCCCCAAACCAGGTATAGTCTCAGAAACCCACAGGAGGATCGCTATGAGGCAGCACTGACTCCATGGCAGCGAGAAATCCTTTTGTGTCTGGCTTATGTCGCTTGGCATCATGTTTTCAGAGTTCATCAATGAGGTAGTACACATCAAACTTCATGTCTTTCTGTTGCTGAATAGTATTCCACCTACATTATATCTATAATGGTTTGTTGTCGTTGTTTGGGCCTTTACCCGTTGATGAACCTGTGGACCGAGGCTGTCTTTGGGCAAAGGCATCACCATGGGCATGGTGTCTGCAGTGCGCATCGGTATACAAGAATCCATTTGAGCCTGTGTTTTGAATAGTTCTGAGTACACTTAGAAGTGCAACTGATTGGTCACAAGGCGCCTCAATGGCACTATGGGGCAATGCTTGGATTATTAATCAAAAGACTGGCGGTTCAAACCCACCAGGCTCTCTGTAGGAGAATGAGCAGGCTAGCTGTTGGCATAAAGATTTGTTACTATGGGTCAGAATTGGCTTGATGGCTGTAAGTGTTTACAACTATTCTAGGTTTAACTTTTTGAGGAAAACCACAGTACTGTTTTTTACAGTGACTGCTACATTTTACCTTGCCAGTTGGGAACTCATACCTCTTTCCTTCCATGTAATTGAAGAGCTTGCTCTGTTTTGTGCTGAACTTCTTAAGCATGCCTTTCTAGATCAGTGGTTCTCAACCTTCCTCATGCCGCAACTCTTTAATACAGTTCCTCATGTTGTGGTGACTCCCAACCATAATTTTTTTTCATTTCTACTTCATCACTGCCATTTTGCTACAGTTATGAATTGGGTGACCCCTGTGAAAGGGCTGTTTGACCCCCAGAGGGGTTGCAACCCACAGGTTGAGAACTGCTGTTCTAGATGCTATTCCTTCAACTCACTTATGTGCCTGCCATCTAGCCCCTCGAGAAGTTCCTAAAGTCTTTGAACAACCATGTTCCAAGGCCGGCAATAGATTCCTAAAGAAAGGTATTCAATACAGAGTATATAGCACTCTTAATAGAGATGAGAGCATCATTCGAGTATTTTGACCTCGTGACCACATCCTGAATTGTTACCCTTATGAACAGTGGCATGAGGAGTGCTCAGTGACCCAGAACCTAATGCTGACCTTCTTTCTAGTAGTCTCCATACATTTCTTTCCACTGCTCTTGAAACAATAATGAGTGTTATTATTTTGGGGAGGGGGGGTGCGTGCGGAGGGAATGCAACAACTTTACTCAAAGGAAAGCGCAATGTAACTTGTTGAAAGCTTAAAAGGAGGCACAACTCAGGCACCTCCTCTCAAGCGCAGGACCAGGTGCAGGGTCGATTCTTTCTGGATGTTGTAGTCCGACTGTGTGCAACCATCTTCCAGCTGTTTCCCAACAAAGACAGGCCTCTGCTGGTCAGGAGGGATGCCTTTCTTATCTTTGATCTTTGCCTTGGCATTCTCAGTGGTGTCACTGGGCTTGACCTCAAGGGTGATTGTCTTCCTGGTCAGGGTCTTAACAAAGATCTGCATTCCCTCTCTGAGACCAAGGACTAGGTACAAGGTAGATTCTTTCTGGATGTTGTAGTCAGACTTAGTGCAGCCATCTTCCAGCTGCTTCCCAGCAAAGATCAGCCTCTGGTGGTCAGGAGGGTTGCCTTCCTTATCTTGGACCTTGCCTTGACCTTCTCAATGGTGTCCCTGGGCTCGACCTCAAGGGCGATGGTCTTACCAGTTACAGTTTTCACAAAGATCTGCATTGTTGAGTTGCGATGGCAGCACAGCGAACACAAAGAAGCAGTTCATGAGCTGCTTCCATGTTGTTCAATGTCTTAGATGAACTAAATTAAAATAAAAGGAAGGTCCAAGCACTCAATATTTCTATGTGCAACCATCCGGTTTATAAATCTTCCCTGTCGTCTACCTCCTGAGTGAGACAATAATGTTGACCTTGAACCAACTTGTTAAGTTAGGTTATCTGAGAGTAACTTTCTTGGAGTGGTCATGAACCAGAATACCTAACATGAGATGCAGCATAACACTATCTGAATCTGGACTTTCATTCTGTAGTATTTTAATAAGTTTCATGTATCTGATGTATAAAGTCACCAATCATACCATGAGTCAAAAAGAATAGTAGCTGAGATGCAGAGACAGCAGGTAAATTCTAGAGTCCTAACCTATCCTCTTCCAACCACTGGCTACTTTGACCAGGTAGTATAAATGTAAAAAGATGAACCATAGCGTCGTTTCCAGGATTAGCAGGACTTAGAAATAACATGTATTTCACATGCTCCCCCCCCCACAAAAAAAAACAATACAAGTTATTATTATAATTTATCCCATTGCTTTCCCTAAATTTCCAATCTGATAGTACTGTGTACTGTTAATTTGTTGATGAGGATGGATGCTTCTTAGCTACAAATAATGAGTAGCAATGAGTAGCAATCCTTCCTTCAGCTGTGAACACTGGGTATTGCAAGAGGGCCTCTGGGGAAAGGAAGATGGGAAGAAGTGATTTGGTCAACACAGTCAGGGCCTGGCTACCTGTTATAAGGTGTGGAAAAGGTTGCCAGGACGACATCACGGCCATTAATCCGAATCACATCTGTCACGGCCTGGAGTATGTTGAAATAAAAATGAGAGTCTCCGGGAACCGAGCAGTTCAGGCGAGCCTTGAGGAAGGACGTCCACTGCTTCTCCAGGACTCTCTGCGACCCTCCCCGGTCACTCTTGCAAACCTGCGCCACGCGGGGGAAGACCACCTGCAGAACCACACACGCAAAAGAGGAACGACACATCACTTTGCGAGGAAGAGGTCTGAGTAGAATCCGCGTCTTCTTGAAAATGAAAACCGAACAACGGCTGCTTAGTTTTACCCCATGTTTCTAAAATCAGTAGCGAAAAGAGAAAAAAAGAAAAAAGGGGAACTCAGGATTGGAACAGCATGTTTTAAAAGATAAGGCTGTGGCATTTAATACAGAGCCATAAATCCTTCAGGGATCAGCTCCCAGCCACATAAACTCATTTCCATACAGACTGCTTAGCTTTTTATTTGCACAAACAAAAGCACACTTTGTAGGCACTCTCTCTGCCATCCTCGCTGGCAGTCTATAGGCTCTGAGTGTCATACTCCCAGTCTGCCATTCCTCTAACTAAGCAAGCCACCCTGACATTTTATTTATGCCTTCTACCTTCGTGACCTTGAATGCTGGCTTGAAAAAAAAAATTACTGAAATGGAATCCCTTAAGTGTTTTATTGCTTTTTGCAAAGGAGACAAAACTCAAGATTTTCAATTTTGCTTCAAGATCCCTGGCTATTTACCCTCCCCCTGCCAAGCAACTCAATTAAAAAGAAAAAGCTTAGAGTATACCTGGGAACTAAAATCTAAAGATACACGAAACTCGGCATGAAACTCCGGGAAACATCTGCCAATTAAATTTTTGAGAGAAATATTTAAGAAGCTCTCAGTAATCTCTTTCTGCTCTGAAAAAACACACAGGGCAGAGAAATGAAGTTTATTATTCGCCACCAGGTGTGAGGGGAAGGGGTTGCTGAGTTTCTGTTTGGGAAGATGGATGTCTTTTTGCTGTTGTTATGCTTACTGCAATAAATAATTTTTTTAAAAAAAAGACCTTCAAGACCATACATGTCTTCTCATCTACCAAACTGTGGCCGAATCTTCTCAAAATCATGACAGTGTCAGTACGATGTATGGTTCTCTTTTTTTTTTTAAACTCTTACTTGTTCCTCTCCACGGAAATCTTTAGTAAAAGGCGAAAGATTTATACGATTTGAAGAGAAACCAGAGTATAGATGTATGGTTCTCTTTGCAAGGCCATTCACGGCATCTGCCTCACAGTGGGTCTCTAGGAATATTCCAAAGGAAGCCAGAGAGGGCGCCCTCTCTCACCTTTCCCATCGTGTTGTATTCCACCGCAATTTCCCTGAAGAAGAAGTAGATGTAGTCTCCATAGTCCACCGCTTGGACGAAATATGGCTCTGTGGACGAATGAACATTTTAATTGGGGCCGTGTCAATCAGAATCGAAGGATCTTTAGTCAAAGGCAATTTTCAATTAAGTTGAATTAATTTATTGATGAAAAGTATAGGGCCATTAAACATTGGTCACCAGGAACCATTCGCAATGACTTCATTCATGCCAACACTGATGATTTCATGAGGCATTCCAGCCTGCACATTATCCCCTTCAGGAGCTGTTACCGCCAACAATGAAGCACAAATGAATTTTGCATCTCTCAGTAATTTCACTTTCCACAATGGAATCCCTTATTACATGCAGCAAAGAACCTGCACACATCCCCCTGTCGACTCTGACTCATTCACAGCTGTGAGGTGTTTCCCACCCCCTCCCGTGTCTCCACTTTTGTCCCCTTCCATACGAATGGATAGTTCCGCTCTTTTCCTATGGGATGCAGACATGAGAGCTTGGGGCAGCAGGGACAGGTTAATGCCATGCATGTGCGCGCAGTGGACTTGCTGGTTGTGTCAATACTCTAGGAACTAATGGGAAGGGGAAGAAGGGGGAGGGAAATACATCAGTTGGGTAAAAGAGGCAATGTCCACTTTCTTGTCTGCCGGGAGCCATTAGAAAAATGGTACTACAGTCTGGTCCATCCAGACTTGAAATCTCCCACAAGATATGTGCTTCCTCCATTCCTTCTCTTGTTTCCTTTTCATTGCTTCTTCACCTTTCAACCATTTTGAGTCATGTTTGACGGTTCGCAGGGTGGGGCTGTCTCCAAGGCTGCGGTAAATGACGGCGTCGATGGCCAGGAAGTCCGTCACTGTGGCTGAGTACAGCTTTCCATCTGAGAAGAAAAGAGGGGAGTGGGTGGGGGGAGGCAGTGAGGGCGGGGAAGAGAGAAATCCCCCCGTTTGCTTCCCTACGTCAGGCAAATGAGATAGGACAACTGGGAAAAATCCAAGAGTCTCTGGGAAAATACTTGGCTCCCACTCCCAGCCATTTTAAATTGGGATCATGAGAGATGAAACATTTTTCATTTCTAAATTGCATGGCAATTTCTACGCAGCAGCAGCAGCACAGGGAGCAGGGTAAATGAAACACGCTGTTTGCCTCACTTGATTAGATGGGCCTTGACGGAAGTCTCAAGGCCAAGCAAGGTCCCTGGGACACTGAACGAGCCCCTCTCCCCCCTGCCCCCCTCTCCCCGTGCTAAACTGGATTAGGTGGGAGCACAGAGAACGAGAAAAGGTGACAGCAGCTGCAACTGGACGCCCAAGTAGAGGGAACGGGGTCCTTGGCCAGAGCGAATGAAGAGAGTGGAAGATTGATCTATAAGAGAAAATGGGCTAACCAAATTTCACCCCAATTCTCCAACTACCGATAGCACAACAGCCCCGCTCCTCCTGACCTCAGCCTTGGGAGATCCCTAAGCTCCGCCCGTCTTGGGTGGTAGTCGTTTAAATAAAAGACAGTTGTGTCAGGCATTTCTAAAGTCATAAACTCCGCACGCTCTGATATGCAAGATGCCAAAGCAAAGAAAAAAGAGGGTGGAGGTGGGGTGAGGCAGAGTTCAACCCGGCCTTTATGACTTCCTGCTTTTGAGACAGGTTTTAAGCTATTTCTAAGTTAAAAAAAAAAAAGATGGAGCTGGAAGATGAGTCCCTAAAACTTTTTGGTTCACTTCTGGGTTAGCGCAGTCTTAAAGCAAAGAATCAAATTGGGATGTTCTAGCCCAGTGAAAGCTATGTAGAGGAAATGTAACCAATAATGATAATTCAAAAACTTTAAATGACTGCCTAGATTCATTTTTAATAGATTGCACATTTTCTTTCATTGCAGGTCCAAATATCGGAGCTAAAATACTTGAGTGATAGGCAGCATGATTTTAAACAGGACTTTTTCCAAACGGACCGAAGGAAAATTCTTGATCTCTGTAGCTTTACCCTTAAAACACTGAGATTTTCTCTGGTCCATGAAGGAGCTGCCCTGGTAGCTGCATTACTAAAAGGAATGGATCAATAACTGCATTGGTGAGCTTCAAATTGCAGTCAGCAAAACTTTGCTATGAAACGCACATATCTACGAAGCACAACTTTTCTCAGGCCATCAAAACCCAAGGTGGGAGGTGGTAGGAGAGAGCCCCGCCTCCCCACCGGGTCTGGGGCTTGGTTTCAAATAAGCTGAGCTTTGAAACATTCCAATGACAAATCCTTTAAATCTGTACCTGAGGTTGTTTATCTTTTGTTTTTGAGGGAGATAAGGTGCACACCTCACGGGACTTGCTTTAGGTAAAACAGAACAAGACACAAACCCAAACCCCAAACCACACAGCTGAGCTCCAGTGGACTTCCGTGTGGGACCAAGCCCTGCTTTCAGAGTGGGCTGGGGGTGGCCGTGACTGGCTTTGTGGAGGCAAATCTCCAGGTCTTTCTTTTGAGGCATCGCACACTGCCACCCTCTCAGTTCACAAGTGTGCACAGGAACCACGGGCACCACCGGGGTCGTCTTGCTTTATATAAAAACCAAACCGACAGACACCAGCAAGCCAGTCCAGACCGACTGCCAGGGTTCTCAGCTGCTGATGGCCTGCTGGGACCCCTTAGGCTGCAGAGGACAACTGCAGGCCACAGGATTCCTGGGAAACCAGTAGTCAGGCTTTCCTTCCCAGTTCTTCTGGGAGGGTTTGAACTGCCAACTTTTGGGGGAATAGTCAAGCATTTACCTGGTTCTACTTTGTGCTATGCAAAACCAAAAATGGAAAAATCCCTGGTCCACTGCCACTGAGTTAATTCGAATGCACGGCCGTCCTGTAGGTCAGAGCAGAACGAACGGTTCCACAGGGCTTGTGGGCTGCACATCTGTATGGAAGCAGATGGCTGGTTTTTCTCTGCAGAGCATCTGGTGGGGTTGCATCCCCCCCTTTGGGGTTAACTATCCAGTGCTTCACCACTGTACCACCAGAGATCACAAGAAATACTCTGCTTTTCCTTCCCTGGCTACCTCAGGCTACAAGTTGTCCCCACGTGTCAGGTGCACTAGTGGAAGCTCGGTCATTGGGCATACACTGGGGCCCTTTTGCTCTTGGCCACACTTACAGGTAGTTCTTGATGAGTGTATGTTTCTAACAATGTCGCCTCCCCATAATACCGTGCTCAAACCTGATGAGTGTTTCCTTCTTACCCCTTGGCGTAAATGGCTTCTCCACCCTGTGACTGCGACATCAGCCTCCCAAATGGGTGGCACTGAGGGTGAGGTTCAGGAATTTTGACAATTAAAGCCTTCAAACCTTTCCGCCAGCTAGAGTGTGCCAGCTTCGGGTTGTTGTGGTGCAAATTATAGCTAACTGCTTTATTACACGCTATCACAATCACTGTTATACCAACACTTTCCCCTACACTCACCTCCACATACACAGCTGGCAGTGAATTCCGAAATAAATCCCTAATTAAAAACGCATACACAACCATCCCACTAAGTCTGAAAATGCTGCATATTTAGATATTTTGCTATGGAACAAAGGGGCTGGGGCTCTATCTAAACTAACAGCTACACAATCTCCCCTTACCACCATCCTTAGGGCCGAGATAGGCCTGCCGCCTGCTACTTATCAAGTCAGTGAGATTCCAGATATTTGCTAGCAGCCACTGGGCAAGTGAGCTCACTTATCTGAGAGAAAGCCGAGAAGCAATTCCTTGCCTTGCCTTTCTCTTTCTTCTATCTGTCGAGAGTGGAGGGCGGGGTGGACACAGCTCAAAAGGGCTGGCAGGTGTCCTGGCTCAGAAAAGCAACCAGTTTGCAAAGCAGAGAAATGAAAAGGAGCTGCATCTTGGGTGATGTTGTTAAGCTGTGTTGGCTCAAACCAACCCCAAAGATTCCCCTACTTCAAACCTGGGGCTTACCCTGGTTTGAAGTAAGATTTTCTTTGACTTGTGCCCAAGCACATCCTCACCCAAACAGGGCCTTCAAAATCCAGTGCATCCACTATGTTGGTACCCCCTTTGAAGACACGTGGGTAAGCGTGGCAAAGGCCTCTCTTGAGAAGCAAAAGCACAATTTTGAGATGCTAACTGCACGCGGAAAAGACATTTTCAATTACAGTATTCACCAGAGAATCAAGGTACAAGTGTGAGTCCGCAAATCTTCCCGAGCAGATTTGCCGTGACAGGCTGAAACATGCAAAAGCACATGCCACGGAAAGAAATCAGGTCGTTTACCTGCAAACAGGGCAACGTTGGCATGCTTGGCATCATAAGGGCATCTGGCCATTCCACTAAATTCATCCCCCAAAGGTTCCAAAGTCTCCATCTAAATGAAATAATAGGACCCAATTAGGAACAACTACAACTAACAGTAGCAAGAGCAACCGCTACTAATTAAACACAGTGCAAAGTGATTCTTCTGTCTTCCTGTAGATAAACACTACAAATACCCACGGGGACAGATCTGCTGGTATCAGATGAGGTCGCTGGGAATGAATAGAGATGCAGACCCTGGACCCAGGTTCTACCACGGAGAAGGCAGAACATCCGGTCCCGTCTGTGAGACGCTTCACTGTTACACAGCGCTGACTACCAGTGTCCGTTTGCAATGGTCTAGAAACGAGCCTCTTTGCTCTTGCAAAAGGAATTTTGGAGGCAAAAAGAATCACCGGAGTTATCTGTGAGTTATGGGTTCTATAGAGAATGACTTCAGTTTGGGGTTTTGTCTTGCCTATGGAGACCTGCCTTTATGGGTTACATCCCAATAGACAAACAATGGAATGATTCCTCAGCTACAGTCAATAAAAACACAAAACCACGAATACAAGCAGAGCTCGGTGGCCTTTGCACTCCCATCCCCCCCTCACCCCCACCCCCAATCACAGCATGTTAGCGCTGAAAATGATTTCAGAAATGTGTCCAGCCTCAAGGGGTACAGATTAGAAGTACAGAAGCGGAGGACCCTCATAGGTCAAAAGCAGTGAAGAGTGGAATTGTCACTTGACTTCACATTTCCAAATGCTAACAGTGTTTCTTCATGCTGAAGGTTGTCAGTGGCCCACAGACGCATTCCATTTGATGACTCCAGTATTAAAATACAAATACAAAGTCCAAATGTAAAAACAAAGAAGCCTCACATACAAGTCCCGACGTCTTGCTTCTTTTGAAATGGGAAAGTCAATGCTCTTCTTATCCAATCAGCTACAACCAGCTAGAGCTGACTAATGGGGTCTGCCTGCTTCCGATTAACAAGGGATCTGCAGTCCACGGCCCTTTGCCCACAGAACATCCTCACCTCCTGCTTGTCTCATTCTACAAGCTAACTGCCCCCTTCCCCAGGCATCTGTAGGTGTGGCGGAGTCTTATTTACAGGCCACCACATTCCATTCCCTTTCCTTGAGATCACACCCAAATGCATTTCCCACTCTCGCCGGCACTTACGTGTAGCCACATGACTGAGTTCTGGTCAAAGGAAGCTGAGTATAAGTGGCATGTGCCATTTCCAGGGGTTGCTGTGGAAAATATCTATGGGTCCTGCACATGTTGTGGGCCTATTATTTGCCCACAAATACAGAGGGTTCCCGTGTAAAACTGCAAGAACCCAAGCAGCGGCAGAAAACTCGGTCTTCTGAATAAGCTCACAGAACAGAGACCTGAGCGCTCCTCCACAGCACCCCCCACCCCCACCCCCGCAGTGGTGTGAGAACGGGCTTTAGAGGCGCCCGCTCCCTCCGCCAGAGTGAAGCTAACTACATTGGTCAGAGGTTGGCCTGCTTTTGTCAAGGCAGTGCTTCCTGCTCTGCACACGTCGCATAAAAAAGGCAGCTCCACCTGGCTCATAAAA